AATCGCTGCTGCTGCTGATTGAAAGTATTCAATGCGTTTTGCAATATTCCCGTTTACCAAGATAAAAAAAATGAAACAACTACTTTGAGCAAGCATGCATCGAAATATCAAATCTACTTGGATAAGATAAGGAAATTTTAAGGATGCAAATGAAAGCTACATACAAGTTTATGACACAATTCGCAACAATATTTGCGATATCGGATCATATGAACTTTGCAGCTTAGTAAATAAGAAGCTCGGAGAAGCATAATATGGAGAATTACTGCAAGACAAAAAAAGACTAACAAGAACTAGACAAAGCAAAAAAAAATGACTCACTCTTATGTAGCTGGCGTTGATATAATCTGACTCGTTAGGTGGGATATCCTTCAGAATGACCCTGGAAAGTGAAGGTATACTGTAACGGAGATAGTAATGAAAAACATCAGCCGAACCTGGTATGGTCAAATGGAACTATGTTCTTGTATCGGTTTCGACTGACATTCTGTTCTTTCTTTCCCTCCCGACGCGAAGAAAACTGATCGTCCACTTGTTGAATACGCTTGATAGGTATCTTTTTATTCGTACCAATATCAACAGGCATCACGGCAAACCTCGAACTCTTCAAGAAATCCTGATTTTTTTGTTACAGGATCAATTTCTTCCAATAATCGTATACGTTCATCAATTGCATCTGCTGGCACGCATGTAGACGGAACCAGCTGTAAGTACAAATAAACATTTGTGCTTAGAAAGAATGTTAAATGCTGACGCACATTCATCAGATGAACCACTCTCTGACTGCCTTCTTCAACCATAGGATTATTATTATAATGCGCTAAAAGTTCACTAACAGTCCGGAATTCGTCACCACCTCCCACGTGATACATACCAGTCTAAAGAAACACTTTAACGGATAAGGACAAAAAAAGCAATACTACACTTACATCGGCTTTCTTTTGTATCAATATATGTACAACATGATCATCTGTCGTTTTTACAGTTATAGCGTATGACCCAGGTGCACGCTGACTTTCTCTAGAATAATATTGTAAAGAAATTGATGCAGTGTAAACCAAACTTTTCCGCAGATCTTTCGTCATCCAACTTCCTTACAAGAGCAGAGAATCAGAGACGTAACAAAGACAGTTTCAGCTGAAGCCAAAGCACAAGGTGTAGGCGCAGCACATCTTGCTAAGAAAGAAGGCAAAGTTAGTTCTACAAGCTTGCTTTCGCAAGACTCCTTGAAAAAGATACGCAGCACATCTTGCTAAGAAAGAAGGGAAAGTTAGTTCTACAAGCTTGCTTTCGCAAGACTCCTTGAAAAAAGATAGAGGATTACACAAAGTCTTTAGAGCCAATGTATGAAATATTGCTATACATGTTGAACTATAATAAGATAATAGCTGTGTTGGAATGTATT